TATGTCTGACTAGGTCTAAACTTGTGAAGATACGGCAGTGTCTTCACGCGATGCCGATAACCCGGTTGAGGTGGTTAAGTCCTCCTCGTCGGGCCCTGTAAACGGCAACCTTTTGCGGCCCTGGCGACATCATGATACGGTCCGGACTCTACCGCGACAAGAGTGCTCTTAGGTCGGGTCGTATAGTCTGGACAGCGCAACATTCTACCTCGCCGCTGTTCACGCGCTCGGTGGCGTGAGGGGTGGGACGCGGCCGCGCCTCAGGCTAGACGGGCCAGCCAGACAACGCATGACCAAAGAGAACGGTCTGTCATGTTTGTGGTGATGCCCGGATCTGTCGTTCATCAGCGAGACCGGAGGCCAGGCCGCGGCGGCGGCGGCCGCGCGAGCGGGCGGCCGGGCGGGGCGGCGCGCGGCGGCGGGCCCATGATATCCATGACACCAGCGAAGGTGAGATACATAAAGGCTATTATCCCGGTACTGGAACCGAGGTGACATTGTAAAGGTTGGGCAGAGTGTGAGGACCTCGGGACCTTCTACAGAGTGCGTACAACTCCGAGAAACACCCCCGAGACGATTCCTGGTCCTCTTTCATCTAGCCAATGTGTGTAGCAGCGGGGCAGGACGCAGTGTGACAGGCGGAGCGTGAAGAGCCGAGGGAGGGGGAGTGGGGCAAACGGGCGCGCACAAGCGTGCCGTGTGTTCCGCTGGCGGGGGCCGCCGTGTCTGTGTGTACTATGTTGCCCGCTGCCTGCGTCCGCACCGCATGCGCCTCCGGAGAACAGAGCCCGGTCGCAGAGTTGTACTGCCCGCTCGGCAGCGGCCAGGCAACTTTTTAAGAGTGGGCTTCTTGCAAGTTGAAGTTGAAGGCGTGTTACTCTGATGCGCTAATCCCTCTCAACTGGTAAACAAAACCAGTCGTCCCGTACTTAGTCGCACAATCTAGGAATAGGTAGTAGTAGATAGCATCAAAAGGCAAAATAAAAAAAAACGGACATAAATTCAGCGTCGGAGGCAGAACGGCGGCTGTGTCTCGTTTTCTTTGACATTAACTAGACACAGTACTACTCTTCGAGGTGCTGTATCTGCTGCGAACGTTCGCTAAAGAGTCCTTTGACTGAGAGTTAGTAAAAGGGGTCTTGTAGACCTTGTTTGAATAACCTTATGTATTTTTGTTTTCGCCGGTGCCTTGGCAGCCCCTTTTTAAGAGATTTGGGTATGGAGGAAAATAGAGAGGGTTGTGTTTTCTGACACTTGGTGAGTTCCCTGGAACACCGGGGACACATATTCATGTAGAAAAGACGTACAAAAGTGCATTTTGCATGATAGGTCACCTTTAAGGAAGAATGCAAACAAAAAAAGAAGGGAAAGACTTTCAAAGAACTGCCTGGCTTTACCTTAACTCAATGTATGAGTTGTCAGAGGTGAAGGATACAAAAAGAAAGGCTTATGGCTCGTCAGGAACACCAGTAACAATTCAAACCACATTAAAAAACGAAATACAGGACAGGCCAATCTCATATGACCAGTTACAATAGCACAGAATACATCTCCTGTTCCCCTTCTTGTAGAAATCAATACTTTCAAAAAGGAGCCACAGCTAAGTGGGCATCAAAAACGAAAAGCCTAATTCATCTATTTCACCAGGGCCATTTCTAGCTAACGGTACCTGTGTTAGTTCAACAGTGCTGCCTTTCTATAGCTCTTCTCTGTATCTCTAGATGTGACCCAAAGGCCCATTAGCTTTCATCAATCAGACACACTGAAGAGAAGAACAACATCTAATCGACCTTACCTGTGAGTGAGGGAGGTATTGCTAATGGACCCCAGCCGTTTAGAGATAGTCTCGCTTTGTACCTTCATTTCTCAGCTGCACTGCACGCTTCACTTAATAGATAGGGACGCATTGAGGAGAAGGCTTCTTTTTTACTGTAATAAAATAGGAGTGTACTTTCTATCCTCTGCGGGTATAGCAGAATACATGTGTTGTTATTAACTTTATCTTTCTGGTTTTGTAGAGACATGATGTGATTTGGTATGAAAAGAAAGGCTTGGCATTGAATCGTACGAGTGTCGAGCTGATGGCTGATGTGAAAAGCATGGTTAACAGACGTGGTTTACATTATGCTAATATTATACCATCTACACTTCAAATATCTGTCAAACTAGCACACCAAAACACTTATTTGTATCAATATAATGCAGCTAGGGGGTGTAAGTGCATTCATGTGTTGCTCACAAACAGATATGTGTGGAAGCTTTTCTTGTTTCAATGCTGAAAAGACATGACAGCTTCGGTTAAAAAACAGTCAACAACATTTCCGATGGCTTTACTGTTAAATGACATGTTTTTGCAAAACTCCTTCATCTCTGTTGACACTCTAACCACAGCTGCACATAGTTAATAACAGTGATTTAGGGTTTTGCCATTCACACATTGGAAGGGGGAAAAGGACAGCAATCTGTATGATTGGAACATAATAAGCATTAATTGTTTTAAGGCTTTTATGGTTTTGCCTTTGAGACATTAAAGAGGGATTGTCTTTAAACTGTCGGCTTACAAAAAACAGGAAAAGAAAAAAAGCAATTTGGTCTTTTGTAGTGTGTCTGGCATCTGTGTGACATTTAAAAGACACCAGACGTATGTCTGTTTAAGACACAGATAATGGGGATCAGACCACCATGGCTGTGGCACGCTCTGAGTGCTGATATGGTTGATGTCAGTCAGTCACGATCTGTGGAAAAGTTCCTCTGTCACACACACACACACACACACACACACACACACACACACACACACACACACACACACACACACACACACACACACACACACACAATAAAGTGTGTTTTCTTCTTCTTCGATAGATATATAGATAGATAGATAGACAGACAGACAGACAGACAGACAGACAGACAGACAGACAGACAGACAGACAGACTGACTGACTGAGACAGACAGACAGACAGACAGATAGATAGATAGATAGATAGATAGACAGATAGATAGATAGATAGATAGATAGATAGATAGATAGATAGATACTTTATTCATCCCAAATCGGGAAAATGATTGTGTTACACAGCAATGTGTTAAGGCATTTAAAAATGTACATCAAACAGCAAATACATATATCTACGGTAGAAAAGATATGTGCCACAAATATACACAATATAAAATGTTCTTGAGAAGTGAGAATGTTGTAAAGAAGACCGATACAGCAACAGAAATATAGACAGTATAGAAAATATACACATTTATATAAATATAGATATAAACAGTGAAAATCATGAACGGTCTCTAACTGGTTTGGTTCGAAATGTTCCCAACAGTCGAATTTGATCAAAGTCCCATCGGGTTTCAAGATGAATTACTTTCACCATAATGTGAGAAACACTTAGAATTGTCACAGTGAGAGTTATTTTAGGGAGTCCATTTTTCGAGCGCTGTACAGTATCAGGCCTCTATTTCATTTGAGACAACTTATCACATTTATTATGACTTTGGCTCTAATTAATCCTGCAGCCACCGAGTGTGGTAGCATTAGTGGTTGAAATATGACCTATTTTCTGCCTCCCAGTGCAGCCTCTAACTAAGACATTCTTTAGATAAATCGCTTTTCAAAGAAAGCTCCCCTTTTTTTGCGGCGCATACTGTAGCAGCTCTTTTTTCCCCCTTTCCTCTCTGTGACAACTTTGATGGTCAATTATATTTAATAAACAGTTAGGGCGCAGAAATAAATCAATTTCAGGAGGGCCTAATCCTCCTTCTCAGGCAGACTGTGAAGCCACAAGTCCTAAAGAAATGTTTGAAAATGAACTTTAATGGAAGACATGTGTCATGCAGCAGAGGTCCTGGGAGGCCCATTCTGCTCACTGCTCGCTCTCATATGTGACACGCAGAGCAAAACAAATGTTCTTCAACCTTTTGGTACATTTTCCTAACAGATTTGTGGACCATATTTTGAACCAATGTCATGTGTTCATTAGGGTCCTTTTAATTATGCTATCACCCTGGGGCTCAGCGCATGACAGGGCCTACATTTCAGCAGCAGATGCCCGGCTCAACACATGTGGTCGGGATAGTTTACAAACTCTCGGGCCGGATGGTTTGCTGCTTTCACCAGTCTGGTTAACCCCGGGACATCTGAGAGACACTCCGCACACTGCTGGTGAAGCTACACAAACAAACATTTCTCAAAATACCTAAATGACAAATCACTTTTTAGGGGGGAAGCCTAACGGCGCTCCGTCATCTAAAACGGTTCCAAATGTTTGGCCTTTTCAACGAGTGCACTCTATGTCACACTTGTATTCAATCATTAGCTTTTTAACCAGCTCAACACTACAACATTTATTGCCATATATATTTGTCTAATAGTCAGAATGTGTCTTTACACCTGATATAAGATAACTTCAGAAGTAACACTGCAGTGAGATATCGGATCTTGTTTTTAGACAATGCATCATCTCGTTAAATAAAAAAATCTTACTTTGAGTTGTATCTCAGATGTACGGAAGAGGATTAGGAACACATTATTTTTATTTTTTTGTTTTGAGAAAAAAGTCAGAATTCTGACTTTAATCTCAGAATTCTGACTTTTTCCTCAGAACAAAACAAAATAATTTTTTGGGGGAGAAAAAAAGTCGGAATTCTGACTTTAATCTCAGAATTCTGACTTTTT